AATATATTTGGAGTCTCTCGTATCACTGCCTGGTTTACTTGTAATTCATTAATCATGCAAATAATGTTTGACTAACATTACACCGGCATGAGAGACTGTAAAATGTACACTTTCACCACGTCCGTTAGTCCAGATAGGGCGAAGAGATGGACATGTAACCTCTTTAAAATTGAACGTAAGACTTCACATAAAAGTTTTATGTTTGACTACGGATACGCGGAGGGTGATTCGAGTCGCACTCAGATCGAGCTATGTAGTTGTTATGAACCTACAGGTGTAGATACGTGATTCTGCAGTAATCCCTAAGTCAGACAAAACGATGACTCAATCCTGTACCAAATAATAAACAGTGGTGTGGATTGTGCAGATTATAACACCTGTAACATCACCCGCCTACAGCTGCTTACACCACGTGTCAGTCCATTGCAGTTAGGCTGGCCACAATGTAGTTTTACAAATGTCAATGGCACATTTGGAAATACATGCAATGCCTATAGTATAAACCTTATCCTGACCGGGTGAACTGTGAAAAGTCATGTGTGGTAGAAAAAAATCATTCCTTTCTCATATTGACTGTGTGTGTGTGTGTGTTTGTGTATGTCCATGGATGCAGGTTCTGTAAACTTAGCTTTTGGGGCCGTGTAATGTATTTCAACTCACGAATTGCCCCACTGCCCATAACCAACATAAGATGTCTTGAATGGCTACTAAATGACCATCAGGACATGTACCCTATATGGCAAGAATGGTACAGTCTGTAATCTGTCAGGATGGAGGTGTCCTATGTTTAGTCAAGGGTCTCTGTAGAGGATATTGACTCTTCTGAAGTCTGTCTATCTGAGGTCTTCAATGTAGCCACCCATACTCCATACTCACACTTAACTATACACAGTCTACCTAAATTTACTGGATTTAAATAATGCAACACAAAACAGAATTCCTCAAACACCATAGATTTATTGAAGCTTTAAAACCAGGCACAAACTAAATATAGTGTGAAGTAGGACTTGAAATGAATATGCAGTGATCTAACAAGTCTGGAGTGATATAATAAGCCATGCATAGAGCACTTGACATAGTAGACTTTGATTTAAAATATTCCTTGTTTTCTGACATCCTTGACAATAACAATACAACATCTTTGTAAAAGAGAGTCCGTGTTACCTTAATCATGTTTCTGTGCAGAAATGATGTCTTTTTTCTGAGATGTCACATTACATTATTTCAATGGTATTTCTTATCACCTCTCACATAGATTTATTAAAACATTCCCAACCTTTCCTATAATCACCTTCATTCATAAACTTCATGCTAAGTCATCTGCTACGTTCATATGTATCTATGACATGTACTTCTTTTAATCCAAAGTAAACAAACAGTAACTGTTAAACTTCTCCCTGCTGCCCATTCCAATTACCAATACAAAGTAGGTGCCAAATGGCTGAAGGTTAAAAAACACTGCAGGAAAAGTATCTCCAAGACCTGTGTCCAAGTCAGCATTAAGGACAGTCATTTCCATTTCCCAGTATACTCAGTATACTGCAGGCAGTCCATGGTTAGTCACAGTGAAATTTCCCACAGGATTCTTTACTGAAAAGCTACTAGTGCCTACTACTATGAGAACAGTGAAATGTTCTCATGCTTGCATTGATGGCATTGCAAATACATTTACTGGTAAAAAAAAAGAACTATAATCTATAGACAGCAGTGAGTTAACAATGCAGAAAAATACTTCTGGATATTTCTGAGTATGAAATGTTTTCATGCACAATCATCAACAATAAATTGTTACACTCACTTGATACCAAATGCAGTATATAAAGTAAAAAGAGCAGATATTGTAACTTTAAAAAATCCACATAAGCTTCTCCCTACAGCAGCATTACATTTGTGAAAAATGCAGAATTACAGAGACATATATTTACTAAGAATACAAATTTTGGGTTGATTTCAAATCCTTAAGATCTTAAATGAAATGTAGACTACAGTTTTTGAGTCACATAGTGCCCATATTATTTTAAGCTGAAAGTCTTCATAAGTTACACTCTGTAACCTTTTGCCAGTAGTACTGGATGAACAAAACAACCACCGTACATTTATGTGGCTGTGGCAAAGCCCACCTTATTATTCCCCATGTCAAACTGAGTGTAAAACTTCCCGATGAACACATCTCCCAGGATCCACAGGGGGCCACTTGGGACGTTGATCCCCAGAAAACCACTCAGGCACACCGTCTGGCCACCCTGACTCACCTAGGGTACAGATAATTCAACAAACTTTCAAACAACACACAACACAGCTCCTTTATATTCTAAAGCTCCTCTGCTGTTCTACAATGTAGATAGCTACAAAATCCATATTAAGTACTGTGTAGTAAACGATACATTTCTCACCATGAGAGAGTAACACATGTAGAGTGAAAAGAAAGCAACTTCTGTATTTTTCTGTATGGATTGGATCTAATGACTGATCAAGTGGTTTGTAACGTTATATACTTATACATGTACTAGTACATATTAAACTTCCTTTTAAAATGTCACCAAGATATTTCTACTCCTTGAGCCTCCTCCCCCAAATGCATAAAGTTCAGTTTCAGTTCAATAAGAATCACAACAATTACCATCATACATGTACATTCTTGCTTTAAAATTACTGAAAAGGCTACTATCTAATAAGACAAAGATAAAATTGGAGCAAAAGTACAGACAAGTTAAAGACATTTTATCACACAGAAGGTCTATTACAACTCTGTGTTGCTACACCCTTGTGGTGTTACTGTGAGTGGTGGCAGCAAAGCCAACTCTGTTGTTGCCCATATCGAACAACGTGTAGTAAGGCCCAATGAACACGTCTCCCAGAATCCACAGGGGCCCGGCCGGCACGTCGATGCCCAGAAACCCGCTGACACAGACCGTCTGTCCCATGGTGGTCACCTGGGGTAGCATGATTGTGATGGTGATTGGCTATTGATTCTGATTGGTTCACATCATCAAGATTTGTCCTGCTGTGATTTGATACCTTTGTGTTTTGTTCTGTGATAAAGCTTGGTCTGAAGTTTTTCATCACAAACAGGACTTTATCAATGGTCAACTATGCTCTGCCAATGTCCAGTCCTTTTACATATTTTGAATCTTTGTTGATAGATGAAAAAATCAACGAATGACTGTTACGTAAATCAAAAAGGTCTAGAAATGCTTGAACTCTTCACAAAGATATCAAATCAGGTAATGGACGGCAGGAAGTTAACATAAGGTTGTCAGCAGAGACAACTCTGGCATGTTGTCAATCAGAGTTCTTATAGAATTTGAAAATTGTAAAAAAAACTGAGTCATCAAAATCACAAAGCAATTAAATACATTAACCCCTCATACTGCAATGAGCAGTGGTGACAGCCAATTGGACCAGAAAAACAAGCCTTTCAATCAGCCCTGAGAACATATTGAAAGCAGAGACTTCAACCCTGAACTTAACTCTTTTAAAACTCCATGGATATTTCTGACAGCCTGACTCCATGGAGGTAATGCTGACATACCTGTAGAACGTAGTCCTTGCCCTGCAGTTCAAAGGCCTTCCCAGCCAGCATGAAGGAGATGGGAGGGAGAGAGGAGACCTGACTGCAGTCCACCATGTACTGTGAGGAGTAAACACATTTTTATCATCAACAATTAGTCTTAATTGTGAGTTTGTATGTCAACATCTTTATGCATTTTCACACTGCCATCCAGCCAACAGACTACCAGGCCAACTTCCTGTTGGCTAGAAGCTAGCTTCTGGACCTAACTTCCTGTGTTTGACCTTTTGTGGTCTCTACTTAGGTAATTGCCCCACACATGTGATGTTGGTCAACAGTACAGTCAATGGTGTTGCATGTACCCTAAGTATCTGATTGTACTCTTGTCACACAAACAGGATTGTTCAATCAAATTTCATTTAAAGTAATGGTATGGCTATTGATCAATATTGCTTAATGACTATTGCTCATAATATTTTACATATTTTTCCATTTAGACTGATTTTTAAACACTTACACTGCATTCTATTAGACCCAATAACACTGTCAGACTAAAATTTAATACAACAGTTCCATGCCGTACCTCTCCACCAGGGATGGGGGTGGCTCCGATTTGTTTGTTGAGAGCTGCCACCTCGGACGTGGGCCCGGCGATGAGAGAGGTCCCTGTGTCGGCGATGGCAGCACAGCCTCCCTTACAGAAGTCAGACGCCTTCCCACTGATCATGATCCTGAGCAACACAAACAGGTTCTCATGTTAGCTGTCTGTTATGTTTAATCCTTGACTTGAGTAATCCCCATCAGTTCAGAAAAAGTGAAAATTGATGCCTGTTCAAAAATTGAACATTTCTAGTGTTGGAGGATAAGGTTTACATATCCTATACCGATACATAGACATTCTAAGATTCAAATGCTTGATATTCATTTATATATGTTCGATACTAAAAAATAGATTGATAAAAGTAAGAATTAATTAATTATGCATGATATCAATTTGAAATTTTAATGAATAGGAGATCCCACAAGGCCCCTCCCCATGCCTACCCGTCCATCTTGAACTGCCAGTATCCAGGCTTGGTGACGTCCAGGAAGGTGAAGTCTCCGCTGTAGTACTTTGGGTCAGTCCCACCCAACAACAGCTCACCACCTGTAGCACCCGAGGCATCCCTGCAGGGCATGGGGGAAATTCATCACTCCACTGAATAGTTGGTTTTGTTAGCGTTTAAAAATTTGCTAAAGAAAATCATGCATTGATATTGTGTGATTTCCATGCATATTCAGACATTTTTTCTGCAACATTAGTAGATATGGGCAGGTTGTTTGTCACCGTGAGAGGAGGGGTTCTTGATCACCACCCTCATGTCAGAGTACTTTCAGTAGCCTAAATCTTGTAGCCCTGTCTTTTGAACAATATATATTTGTACAGGAACCAGCTACAAATAGTAACCAAAATATTCATTTTATAGCTATAACAATACTTCATCATTGTTTGGTTGCTGTTCATTTTTTTTACATGCACATAAATTTTGCGATACTGACAATCTTGATAAAAATTTTAACAATCAAAGCATTATCATTCTACTGAACAACACAGTGACACAGTATCAGATCATGCTGAAATGCAAAACATTCCCACCTGTTCAGGTAGAAAGAGAAGACTGGTTTGTCAACCAGTTTCTGTTGGACCATGTTGTAGAAGGGTGGCACGACACCGTCCACTGAGATGGTGTCATACCCCATCCCCAGGATACCGTCAAACTTGGCCGCAACAAACGTTATACCAGGCTGGGTCACGGCCTCCGCAAATGTCTGCTTCTGAACTTTCAGGCCTCCGATCTGTGGTAGTGTTATTATTTGGTGAGGCGTGGAGATATTTCATAAAATGTGAATCTTAGGACAAGAAAATAACATTGTTACAAAACCAAGGAACCTAAATTTGTGAAAAGTCTTTCAGACAACTATGAACTAAAGAAGGATACTCTGAGCATGAACAATGTTGTCCATGTTCTGAGGAAAAAATATCTTCTACTCACCGTGACTGTATCCTCACTCAGAAAGCCGGTCAGACTGCCAGACCCGTAGCGAATGGCGAAGTCAGTGCCGTTCTTCATGTAGGTGCTGGACTGGGTGCTGTCATACTTGTTGTGGAGCACTGTGGGGGAAATGACAAGATCCTGACCCATCATGAGAAAACTCTAACCCAAGATGACAAATGTAGAATGTTTATTACAGATAGCCTGTACCCCAACCCAACTACAAGTGTGACTCGTCTTTACATTCTATCATGTAAGAATTTTACTAAATCTATATGTATGTGCAGACTATGTGTAAACTTGCCTATTGTGGACAGCTGCTTTGTCATTACCTGGATGTCTAAACATCAACGACGTAGCTGCTTCTTTTCTTTTAAGAAGATATTGAGAGGTTCATATTCCTGCAGACCTGTACTGTAGAGTTGGTCAAGATATAACATACCACCATAGTAGTACATGTACGTTTCATGTATATTTATGTGCAAACATTATGGTACTATGATCTCTAAACACAGTGTGCCCTTCCACTTGTAACAGCCCATACTTACAGCAGGCGATGTCAGACAGTTTACACTTCTTGGACGGCACCCACAGGTTGGAGGAGCCGGTGTCAAACACTACCTGGAAGCTCTGGGGAGGAGTACCGATGGAGATTGGGCCATAGTACTGTGCCTGTGTGGGGAGGGGGGCAGTCATTCTATCAATGTGTATAAGTACAACAGAGCCCTGTATACTGCTAGCATCCAAAGTAATCTGTAATCTGTACATAGCACATAACATGTCATTTTTTCTGATTTGACAAGCTGCTATCTGCTCTTTCAGGAACAGTAAGAATCAAAAAGTACATTCCTATCCCCAAACTTACATCCAAGTAGTTGGTGAGTGGCTCGGGGGGCATCCTTAATGTTGTAGTACTTCCCACTGTAGTCTTTGTCCAGGATTTGGTCGTACGTAATGCCGACATCTGCCAGCTGACGACGGACAGTTTTCACCTTGGTCAGCGGGACTCTGTAGATGTAAAAGCAGTTTGCTTATCATATTCATAATACATGTGCAAGGTGACACAATTAGTCCAAAAAGGTAAAAAAGGAAAACTGCTACAGCTTTCAAGCTATTCACACATCAGCTGGGGTGCTATAAAAAGGGCGGTTATACAGGCTCTGAATGTCTGATAGAGATTCTTATATCAATTGTCAACTTGATAAGTTCTCAGTGCTAAGACATCGTCCAAATGACATAAGAAAATATACTGGACCAACTCCTGGATTATCTCACATGACACCTTGAGTCAGGTTTTGTCCCTTAAGCACCATAATAATACATTTTTTGGGACATCCCTGCTGGGTACATTGGAATGAAAAAACAGGACACCAGCGGGCAATCTGTGCCAGTTAATCATTGCTTCTGCTAAACTTTGTTACCATCCATATCTTAAACCCATAAACAAATTCAAACACCAGTGACCTGATAGTGCTATTCTTACCCCATTTGCCATACTCAACAAACTCCAAAGATCACTAGACATCATCCAAATATCAGAAGATGTACTGGACTTTGAAACAGTCCCTGCAACTTAACAAAGTGATATCTCCACGCTACTTAACAAAATCGATAAGATGGAACATTCTATTTCAACAAAGGGGTGTGCAGGATGTAACTTAAAGGTGTTTTTCTAATGTGTAGTGTAGCCTTGGACAGTCCCGCCCCCAATGTTTGTTCATGTTGTTTATACACTTATACCAAACTATTTGACCTTGCCTGAAAAGGTCTCACGTGGTTACCACGAGGGAGGAGTGGCAGTGTTAACACCCGCTGAACCCGCCTGGCTCTTATGCTTGTGCCTTGAATACATTTGTGATTTAATCATGCCTTACGATGATTTAGATGTTTACATTGGTTACTGAGGGCTGATGGTGTGAACTGTCCACCAAACACTGCTACCCAGGCAATGCCTTGGTATTGGGTGTTGGCAGACATGGTAACCTGACTGGTCACTCATCTCTTCAAAATACAACCAACAGCAAGGAGGAACTAACATTCCTCTCTCACATATTCCATTTTATCAATGACCATGCCTCCAACAGAAGCCTCTGGAAACTACAGCTGCCATGCAAGCCTGCAGATGATTGATTGATTGACTTTGAAGATTTGGGAACAGGAAGATTATTGCATATTTTTTCAATGGGTACTAAGCTGCTTAGCAAATACTTGCTTTTAATATTTGGGAACAGGCAGATATCAATAACAGCCTGTTATTAAAATCTGAAAAATTGCTGATTCTGCAAACTTGTAGAACACCAGAGAGGGTCCCGCCCCTTTTCACTGTCAGCAATGTCAGCAGGAGAGTCACATGACCCCACCAGATCAAATTTCATTTGTTCAAGGTCTCTCAGTACATGGATGGTACAGTTTGGTACCAGTGTTCATTGGTTCCCACTGATTGGTTCCACTGAGAATCGAACCTGCAACCTTTATGAACAGGAACAAGAACTTCTTTTAGTTTTATTTCCACCAGGCTAGCTTACATTACAAAGCGATCTTATCAGTTGCATCTAAGTTCTGCACGCAACACAAAATTTAGAAAAATGCCTCAGTGTCCAGCGAGGCAATGGGAGTAGACACCATGACCTCATATTTTCTGGCAGTGGCTGGTGACCGTGAGTCATATTCCCCCAGGGGAAAACAAAGTTTACATTCCTCACTCAGGTCATGTGATGGGGTGGGTAGGGTGGAACATGTGGTCTTACACAGGGATGGCCAGATAACAAAGATGATGTATAGGTGCTGTGCATGCAGACTTGCATATGTAGTATATGTGGTGATACATTTTAAAGACACTCTTAAAGGAGTTCAAAATATCTGCAGCATTTCTACCTTGTTCACAAATACTACTCCTTTATTTGTGTGTATCATTTCATTTCGAAACGATAAAGGACTATATAAAGTATAATTTTTGACACCGAGTTTGAATGCATACAAATCCAGCTTCCACAAAATTACACATTTTCACTGTCTGATTTAATAACGTTAACAAAATACATCAGGAACAGGAAGAGGTTTCTGATAGCCGCAGGCAAAATTTACCTTGATTTAGTACTGAGATAGTAGGACTTACTATCACTTTCTACTGTAGAAAGTGCGTCCTGCTTTATAACAACAGTAAACAACCGCTAACTGGAAATCAGCGTCAATATACAGAATATGATATAGTCTATCAACCGACTAATACACTCGGGTGCACAAAATTTGGGTCCCGAACAAACGAACAAAGCGTCTTCATGCAAATGTGAATCTGTGATCAACAAATTATGACCAAGGTGACGCATGATCGAAAATCATGATTTCTCACCTGTGCAAGGCGCTCGCGAGGGCCACAAGGGCCAACAGGACAGCCAGGACCTTCATCGTGCCGGGACTCTGTGCTCAGGTACAACACTGATCAAGAACAGGGCGAGAACAGGGCGAGAACAGGACGGGTTGTTCTGGACAGGACGGCGAAGCGATGTCCCTGGTGAGTCACACCTGCAGCTGAGTATCATGTGATGTAAGGTGAAAGGTCAAATTTGGCATAGACCATTCTTTTTGTAGGGGTAAATGATACTAAAACGTGGCATCCCATTGTCCTATGGGATGCCATGAATATTGACCAATACTACTAACTAGTTACTTCCGTTTCACATTAGAGAGATCAAACTCTACCTGCTTTAGGACCCAACAAAATGAAGCAAATCAGCCAAACATATGAAGAACTGCCCCTGAAATTACAGGGGACGTCTACCGATTTGAAGAGGAATTGCATCATGGCCCAGCGAAAAGACGCTTGCGGTGCCAACACGGAAGTGGTTGGCAGAGGTAGGCTGCACCAAAGGGACAGAAACATTCACGCGTGCGAGCCGGAATTGGAGTGTCATGGCGGACTGGCCTAGCCAAGATCCTCAGGTACGAGACTAGTGCATTTATTTTGCTATAAATAACTGAGAAGCACAGAAAGGAAGCGATGTTCACCTGAAGAAGGGGCGTGGCCAGGAACCCCCCTCCCCACCTCCGCACGGCGTGTGGCAGAACCATGTCCTTATCCTTATCATTTCCCATTGTTTAAGGAGAGACTGAAAAAATAAGATCTACTACCTCATCTCGAAATGTCTCTGCCTCAGGTAAATATGCAGAATGAACACGTAAGTTATGAATAATATGAAGACATCAGAGTCTTTTCTACCTTCAGGACTATTTTCTTTGGTTTTGTTATCAAGTCTTTGAGCTCAAAATCAAGATGTTCTGTTACACCAAGAAGGTTTGAAAAGGGCCCCTGGTAGAGTATGTGAAGATCATGTTGCATTCCTGGGAATGGCCTTATGACCAGTGAATGAATATTGCTGTTTTACTCCAGGCGACTGCAGCTGCAGCAGGTGATGATGACTGGGGGGATGACTTTGGGGGGTTTGAAGCTGCTGAACCGATCCAGCCAGCCATGGCACAACCTGTACAGCAGGGCATCACAGCAACGCCCTCTATATGGGCACAACTCAGCACAGGTATCTATTGCCTCCCTAGCCCAGCAGTGAACATATGTACAGTTTAATACTGGTTATCAATTTCAAATTTATTTGAGGCACATCTGGACCTCAGAAATATATCATTAGGCAGATTTATGAGACAGTTTATTTCTTCTAGGTGCAGTTCCACCGGTGTCCCCTGGTGGTGTAACCACTGATGCAGCTCAGGGTGTGCCATTCCATGATGGGGGTAGTCAAACACCTGAAAGTCAGGTATCATATGTTTCCTGAATTGTGCATGATTCCTATATTTCAAGCGCATTATATATTCTATATAATGTCCTTGCATATTTTCAATGAGTGCATTGTGCTACCCTTTACAATACTGTATTCTGTTACATGTAGTCAAATGAAGTGATGGTAAAGACAGAGACCAGCATAAGTCTGAAAATAATTAAATATTTGTTCTTTTCATTGTTAAATGTATGTCATATTTTAGCAGCATCATTGTTAGATGGCATAATGTACCTAGGCCAGAGAAGCAAGGGGCCTGGCCTAAGCTGGACTTTTTTTTCCTTTTTCCACTCAGAGGTCAAGAACTATATCAGGCACTTCACAAGCTTCATCAGAGGCAGAGCCCAGTGCAACAGCCAATCAGATACCTTTCCCCACCGACTTCAGCCAACTAGATGCACCTGCTGAAGTTACACCAGCCAATAAGGCTGTGCCACAAGCTGCTGCTAGCCAATCAGGCATTGAGACAGCACAGCCCAACCAAGTGTCAGTAGACTCAGGGGTTAACCAATCAAATGAAAGTATCCCTACTTCAACCAATGAGAGCTCAGCAACACCTGACCAAAGCCAACAGGAAGATGCAGTCACCCCAGAGCCTGTCTCCATGGCAATGCTGGAAGAAAACAAGGAATTAAAAGATCAAGTGCAAAAGCTACATGACAATCTGTCCATAGCAGAGAAAGAAAAAGTTGCAATACAACAGGCAAGTATGAATTATTTTATTTTGTATGTGTATATATATATTTCCTGTTAGAACTGAATATCGAACATAAAATTTCAGATATGAAATCCAGCAAAATTGAAATACAGTATATGACAAAAACTTGAAAGTGAAGCAACCAGGTTTTTGCAGTGTACCCTGATTCCCCAAACTGTGGCTATTCACGATAACGCAACGATGTAGAACTGGAGCAGTATTAACAAAAGATGAGGAATATTTTCGATTTGGACTGATCCATATTTGTCATTATTTTTTCAACAATAATGAAATCTCTAGCACCTGGTGCCTACAGTCATTGTCTGATAGCTTGAAACAGTATTCTGAGCCTCTTGATGCTGACACATCTGGATCATTCTTTATATCATCCATATTTAGGACCTTGAAGATTTGTTACAGAAACAGCAGGCTGTTGAACAGCAGCTGTCAGACCAGACATTACTGTCAGAACAGCAGAAGGAAAAGTACCAACAGCTGCAGGTACATGTATTTGTTTTTGGTGTCTTCCAGTGGTTGTTTGATTTCATCAATGACATATTGTCCTACATCTGTACAGGTTTTCTGGGTTTTTTTTGTACTGCCTGACTGCTATTCTATAATTCTTTTGAACATTTTCTAATTTTCTAAAAATTTTCAAGGAAAAACATTTGGAAGAGCTGGCAGATATCAGGAAGGCAGGACATGAGGCTTTGGCAGTTATTGTTGAAGAGTACAAGGTTTGTTTGCCATTTCACTTTGGGTTAAATTGTGGTACAGGACTTTTTGACTTTGTCATGTTTTTCATTTTGTGTAAACTATAAAGTACTGCGGATCAATACCAAGCTTGACTAATTATGTAATAATTCCCATGACTATGGTTGTACAGCAATTTGAGAGAAATAAGATTTCTCTACCCATGAAAAGTTGTCTCCAAGTGTACAGCCTCATGTTCCCTGTCTGTCTGCAGGAGCTGTGTAAGACTGCAGTGCTGCAGCAGCAGGAACTGTGTGAGAAACAGCTGCAGACATCCCTCGCTAAGGAGACCGAGAGATGTGAGGAACTCTTACAGAAACAGGTGGGGCCAAAACTAGCACAGGTCCAACTCAGATTTGAGGTTTATATCGAGTCAGTATCTTTAATATTACATTAAAGGAGGACTAAAATCAGGAGGATTTATTTTCCAATTGATAAATTCTGATAATTTATCAAAGAATACATAATCAGCCGACTTTTTGTAAAGTTCAACGAGCGAGTACTTTATCATATGATCATATAGTACATTGTGTAGTAAAATAACACCCTCCTCCGGACTTTTAAGACCTATTGACCAGTATACAAGCTATGAAATACATATAATGAAATACACTCTGGACAAGCATGCATCTGAGAAATTTCAGATTTAAAAACATAGTTTGATCAATGGGTGATAAAAGGACAGAGAGAAGAAGGTAGGAAAAGGAAAATACAGAGAGCAAAACATTGTCCTCTAAACATTAGAAAGGAAATGAAAAGTTGACTTATTATTTGCAAGAGTGAACTGTGACTGACAGTAACTGCCCCCTAGCATGATCGTCTGGTACAACAGTTAGAAGAGGAGCGAGCACAGACAGAGGAGAAAGTCCAGGCAGCAATCAAACAGCAGCAACAGAAGGACCAGGTGAAGGCTCAGACATGCTATCAACATTTTTGATATTTGAATACTTTAAGTACTTCATGGACATTTCAGAACTGTTGATTATGCTTGATTATATTCTAATTGTCATCCTTCCAGGAGGAGCTTGAAAAGGTGTTAGCTCAAGAAAGAGAAAAGAGTCAACAGGCCATACAGGAGGCAGTAAAGGTAATGTACTGTACCAGTAAATAAAATAAGCTCCCTATAAGCTCACCAGGATAGTGAGTGAGAGTGATTTATGTATGGTGATAAAAGAGTGATACTAGTATTCATTTGTATTATAGAATGATGTTTGGAAACCTTTCCTGTGAGATTTAATTTTCATGGTACAATGTATTAGAATTGCTATAACGTTTGGCCAGACTCGGTAACACAAGGAACTTGAAGGGTTTCACAGTTTTCATTTTACTTAACATATTTCCCCAGGTTGAGCAGGCAGCGGGGAGAGAGGCCCTACAGGCAGCCCTCCAGGAGGAGAGGGAGAAAACTAGAGACCTGCTGCAGGAACAGAGGGTCAGGAACAGACAAAGATGAAACTGTATCAGTATTTAAATTACATGTAGTATTACAGTATTTAATTGTAACTGGCATACTGTATACAAGCTTGGCATGCAACAAAAAAAACTTGAACAGGTAGATGTAAAACAATGACAAGAGCTCATCTAAGTTGTTGCCATCCTTACCAGGTGGAACTACAGGGACTGGTTGAGCAGGAGAGGGACAGGGGCAGGCAGGCTGTGGAGGACGCAGTCAGGGAGGAGAGGAAAAGGGCAAAGGTTCAGTACTATATCCATTGATACAGGAGATCAACTCTATCTGGTTGACATTGCAGCATATGCTTGAAAGCAATGTTCAAGAATTTGTACATGTCATTGGAGAAAGAAGGACATTTTGTGCTCCAATACACTAAGGAGGTCCTTGAATACACTTTGTGTAGTGTAAAGTGTTGGTTGGGGAGTATTTAAAACATGGTAATTGTTCAACACAAACAATTTCAGTCAGATTAGTAGGGTTAAACATTCTCTATAGTTGCTGAAGTCTGCATTAGTTGTTATCTATAGAAGCCAGAAGGTACATGTACTGTATGTCCAAATGCTTGACTCAACTAGATACTGTCACAGTTTCCCTTGATTATTGCTGAGGCTGTGTTTGTTTGGGCAGGATTTGGCAGCAGCTGTTGTTGAGGAGGAGAGACAGCGTGGCCGGGAGGCTGTGAGCCGGGCTGTAGAACAGGCACAGCAGGAGATGAAATCGTACAGCATAGACCAGAAAAAGGTACATCATGCACAAACTTTACTTTTCAAAATGCACTTTGATGTCCTGGTTTCATACCATGTTTGTTCATGTTTGTACGTGTATTATAGAAAACGAAGTTCACAGTGTTTCATTTATCCATTTATATGTTTGAATCATTAATTATCAACACCTTGATCGTCAACTCTGAAAGAGCCCTGGAATAAAAACTACCAACCAATTTTGTCTAGATCTACTATTGCAACCTTACACATCAAGCATGGGTAGTTATACATAACAATGTGGAAGACTTCACTCACTGTAACAATTGTACTTTCCTAAGGCTTTTAGATGGGACAGGGCTTTTTATGCTAAGGTTTTCTCATCTCTGCAGGCTGACCAGGCTGTGCGTCAACGCTCGCTGGCGGGGGTTGAACTGTTTCTGTCGGGCGCCTTACAGCAAATCAGAACTCTGATGGACAACGGACCAACTAGAGAGAACACCACCGAGGAACAAGATTCAACATAGCAAGATTCTCTGTCAATTATAGTCATACATATCAAAAGTTTCATTTTCCAATAGCTGCATATTGTGTACCGGTGGATGTGGAATTCCAGATCTTTCAGGTTAAATACAGTATGTAGAATGTATCAATGCCTTTCATGTTGAAGTTTTACAGTCCTGAGCTTTACAAGATGTATAATTATAGATGAAATATATTTGCACAAGAATATATCTTAATAATCTATTATTATAATGTTGGCATCCATAATGGTATTGGTTGTCTTTAGTTTGCTTGTCAAATTGAGATGATAATGTCAGACTTGCATCATAGCACTACTATATTCAATGTGCCTTCAAGGATCACTCTTGTGTGTTGCTTTATCTTACAGATAGACATAAATAGAATGACTCAGATTCAGAGCATTGTACTCACTCCATTGTAGTACCGGTAGTTGCAAGCAACTGGAAATATACAAAGCTCATTCATATGGACGCATTTTCAGCTTTACTTTAATGGTTGAATTATATAAAATCGTTTTTCAAGCTTGAGATGTTACCGTAGTTGATTCTGTAACACTACACATTCAATATGAATCCTGTACATATTGATCAGAAAACCAAACAGATATTAGTCGCCTCTTGCTTTGATCTTTCAAGGAACAATCAGATTATCAGTCATCTCTTTGCCGCCACTACCGTTTCCTTCTGTTCGACGCGGAGTAACTTGGGAAGGAATGGAGCAAATCTTCTGCATGCCCAGATAGTCATTAATGACACTGTGTATAGTTCCTTGACTAACTCCAAACTGTGCACGTATTGCCTCTATAGACACATGGTCCTCATTCAGAAAACCATGTATTTTCTGAACTCCATCATTCTGACCTTACTGTCTCCCACACCGCTCATCATCTCTCACCTCCTTGAACTTCTTGTGCTGTCGATACACAGATGCTTGACTTCTGCAGTTTGGTCCACATGATGTCTGGATCATTTCATAACTTTTTGTCTGGTTCTTTCCCAGTTAAACTCAAAACTTTATCGCATGGCACACTTCCGATGTGTGGTCACGTCCTGACTGCATTGTGCAAGCTGGTCATGACAACCAGCACTTAGTACGGTGTGTTCAATGTGCTGTTAAAGCAGTCTACTTCAACTTAGAATAATAAACTTGAGCTCAATACATGTACATGTCAAAGATTCAGTCAGAATAAACATAACCGCACACACACGCACACGTGACACACGAAAAATGAACTTGAAGCAGAAGTGAGGCTGTTTTTTCCCTTTTTATTTCAGGATATTTCTAGGAATGAGTGTTTACGCTACCAGGGCCGAGGCAGTGGATGACTCACTGAAAAACAGAAGTAAAAATCTGTCAGTTAAGAACAGCATAACATACAAAAATTGTTATCTAAACTAGGGTAGTTTAGACAGAAAGCTGATCAAACATTTCTACTGCAAAGAAACAAAGCATGTAAAATTGTAAGCTACTAATTTTCCACGTCTTACTACATGTACAAATAACCATGACTATGTAGTAACAGTTCAAACAAACTAGGCCTTCGTAAGTTCTAGCATGTCTTCATGCCTAATATCACACAATTATTTCTTTACCGACAGTCCTACAAAAACTAGGAAAAATGTGCAGCACTTACTACTTCCAGTTAGGTGGCAGCACCAGCTTGGTCTTGTAGTAGCGTGCCAACCGGTGGATACGGCTCTCCACAAGGATAAGGCGGAACTTGGCGTCTTTGTCCTGGTCATAAAGATATGTAATATGTAGTAATCAGAAATGACGCCTTTCTTACTACAAGCACTCAAAATAATCCTAACAGCACATAGAAATCATAGCAGTACACATACTGTGTATTTAGGCCAGTACATTTAACACAATTTAGTTCATTCTATTTCTACACATAATGTATCAGCATCCACTATTACAGCCCATGCCTGTCATAATCCAAAGCATATTCTATCAGAACAGGACAGATGTTGTGTCAAACAAACAAATATGCCTCTTTTCTTGGGGAAACTTCAGTAAGTGATGTAGTGATGTTGAAAAAAGGCCGGAGGTACTACAACAACCAAGGCCCAACCAAACACCACCGCAACCCTTCCTCTTCCTCCTTGCATTCACACTATCACATTGGAGGGTGGTAGCATGCCAAAAAAGGAGGGCTCCATGCAACACTCATGCCACGATGCTCATCATAATTTTCAGTGGGCCGGATGCAAGAAATGATCCTAACACACTGTGACAAATTTATCTGTCTGATCATCCTCTGGTCTTCTGACAATTCAATACCACATGGACCTACTATTGCTCTTGCACATGATACTGCAAAACTACATGCCATGCAAACAAGTGACAGTCTGACAAGCATGCGTGGTGAGATGCAAGTATCTTGTGAGTTGTATCAACTTCAACAAGACAACTTCAAAATTGACCAATAGAAGTGCACTGGCGACTGGATATGTTCCAAAAAACAATAATTTAAATTGTATTTTAAACTTTTTTGCAATGGAACACATGGACACAAAGACGTAAAAAAAGTTCTTAAAAAGTCTAGTCTATAGCTCTATCTGATGTTTCTACGTCCTTCTGTCTACTTTCCTTACTGGAGACAGTTGCTAGTGAATGGTACTACGTTTTTAATGATAAGTTTTGCGATTAAAATCTAAAAGTTCCCATTGACCCCACGGCCCACCTTCCTGTTCCTCTCCAGATGTTTGCGGATGGACACGGCCTTCTTGATGAGGAAGTACAGGTCCTCGGGGAGGTCGGGTGCCAGGCCCTTGGACTTCAGGATACGCAGGATCTTGTTTCCCGTCACAAACCTGACCTGAGCCACTCCATGGGAATCACGGAGGATCACACCTGGGAAGGGACAACAATCAGGATCAAGGTGTGGCTACATACATGATTGTTGCAAAAATGTAAATCCTGAAACTTTCACAGTTTTGTGGTGACCTTTGCACAGAGAATTCATAACACTGACTGTGAATACATCTTCCTTGTAATTTGGGTTAGTTCTGAATTCTCTGTAAAGGGTGTATACCACTTGAACAGGGTGTAACAAGTGAAGAGTGTGTAAGAAGTGACAAGTGTTGTTACCTATCTGTGAGGGTGTGAGGCCCTTCTTGGCCAGCTTGTAGATCTGGTCTTTCACATCGTCTGCAGACAGCTTCAGCCACTGGAAGAAACATGCAGGAACACATGAACACAGCTCTGGGGATCCATAGTTTCTCCATATCATTCCTGCTGTCCATTTGCATCATCATGTACAATGACTTGACTGTACTGAACAAGGTAATATTGAGGTTCTAAGGTAACTTTTTTGTCTCTGTATCCACTATACTATTCTAGATATTTCCTGCAAACCAAGTTTCTAATGTTTAGTCCTATTTTTTGAAAATCAACTTTCTGATTGTAGTGTTATTCCAAAGGCAATGCCATTGGTAGGAAAATCACAACTACCCTTGAAATTGACATAGTAACTTTTTCCAGACCAAGACGTATATTACTGACTACAATTGTGCAGTATGTTGCATACAATATTCATACTAATCATAGATTAGTAAAAGCAGTGACTTGTTGAGTGCACTACTGACTAGTGCTGATTTGGTTCATGCTTACCGTGGGCACACTGCGGCGGTACGGGAGGGCTGAGGAGGAAATACCCTTTCTGTGGAAAGAAATGCACATACACTTTTGAAATGTACTTTTAATAGGGTACTATTAACTTCAGTTATGCTGAAACTTATGCATACTTGGGGGGGGGGCTGTAATGTTTTACCTTTTCTATGATGTTTAGTTTGTGTATTGAAGATGGGGTGCCTGTGTCAGGTTTCCTTATCACTACACTGGTTACAGCAGTGAAACAAATCATAAATTATGACTATGTGTTTATATCAACCAAAAATTACATATTTTTTGATGTGGACAAAATTATATTATCAAGAATATCATGCAAATAATTTACATGAAGGTAACAATTTGGTTAACACTGCCATATTGTGCTCTTCATTTGGTGAAAATTTGGTTCAATGAAATGGCTGTCTTGACATTCGCTTCAAACAGTGTAAGTACTACGTGTTAGAAACTGGGTTTGGGCTGGTCTGGGCGAAGAAACAGACATAGCCGGCCGCAAGATGGCACATGGCGAAATTTGCCATAGGTATGACGATAACATAACTGTCCAAAACAGCCATATTCTCCACATCTTACGACCTAACTACGCCTCAATGACTTCTTGAAATATTTAAGATACAAAAGAACGTATATTTAGGCTCCTGTTGATGTTTTAATGACCAGATAAAGGCAACATTTCTGGCTTACCCGGGCGCGTGCATACGACCCATGATGGCGGCTGGTAGAAGAGAGGACGTCACGTGGTCAGAATTTCCCACCGTGCTTTTCGGTCAGCCTGAGCACGACCTCGTGCGGAATAAATGCAAAGTGCATCACAGAGATGGTCAGTCAATCAAGATCAATCAAAAGTTTTCAAAACCATGAAAAGGCTACCCTGTGTTTACACTAGCTCTAGGCCGGGAGTAATTGGCGGGGGGCAACCTAATAGGAGCGCGATTTAACTCAGGCTAATGAAAATAGCCTCTACCGGGCACCGCGGATTGCTGGAAAAATACATGTAGGGCCATGTAGTAGAAATTGGCCGAAATAAAGGGATAGTATATACTAGTATACCAGAGAAGACCCGTGGGTCTCAAATTGGATCTTCTATGGCCCTGGATCTTCTCTGGTATACTATCCCTTTATTTCGGCCAATTTCTACTATTTTTCCAGCGGCCCGCGGTGCCTGGTAGAGACTACTAGTAAATGAAAAGGCCACACCAATTTTGCAGGAAATGGATTGAGTGGGTAGGCGATCTGAAAATCGATATTGTATCGGTATTGATCTGAAAATGTAGCAGGCATCTTCTGTTAGCTCATATAATATATAAGGTTATTAGACTTTCTTCAACAATCGAATCAGAAAAAAATATAAATCGGTAGTTCCGAAAGAATGCGAAAGAAACTTAATTGACTTTAAGTCTAAATTTCCAGACAATTAAGGCCACAGCAAGTAAATTTTATGGATGACATCCTACACAGACTCAAAATCTAATGCGATAGGGCGAAAACAATCAAGGCATGCAAAAAAACAAGCTTAAGATTCCTACATCTTCAAAATTTGATATCATAAACCTTGTTAAACAAGAATATTGTGCTAAGTTTACTGCCAATTATTACGACATCCGTTTGTCACTGAAAAATAAATGTTTTCAGTCATTGTACAAACGGTTTTGATTCAGGGAACATCACATATAAAAGGAATGAAATGCATCGCTGCATCAAATTTAAAATAAGAGACAAAACAATAAATCAGAGCCTTGTCTTGTCTCCTCTCTTCATATTTATCTGCCATCCACGTTTCAGCCAGGCAACAGGCATCTTTGCCCATTTTTTGGCACGCTGACCACTTTCGGAAGACAACAAAATTTCTTGTTTTCTATATTTACAAAATCAGGCGAAAATTGATGTGCGCGCTGATGTCACCCATATACCATAAAAATTAAGTTACTTGCTGTGGTCTAATCCCTAATGCGTTCACCCCCAAATTCTAGATCTTCGGATGTCCGTCTATATAGAAACTTACAATGTTACATAATCTGATTTACCTTTTATTTCTACATTGGTAAAAATATTTGATAGCCAAATCCCAAAATGTGTTCTTCATTGACTCAACTTCGAGAGACTGAAAAGATTCCATTCTCGTCAAGCTCAGGTGCAGTTGAAATATTTTCCGCCAGGTGCGCTTTTCCGCTTTATCGACTTTCACCCATCGAACGTTTGAGCGGACCAATCACTGCGCACGAAGGGATCACGTGATCAGTCTGTCTCCTCTACAATCGAGGCGCAGAGCGACTGTAACATGCAACTGGTCAGCATTTCTCCTATATTTTGTATCATTTCAAAACTTTTACAACAAGACAGACAAGTACACAGAAACAATAAGGTAAGCGGGATTTCATGTTGTCTACAGCTGTGAAAATCAAGTTTTTTAGTGTGGAATTTTTGACATAGTTGTCTGGCGGATAAGTTGACTCACCGGTAGGTAATACCGCGCGGTGGTCTGTAACCGGCTAGGTTATATAATTTGGCCAGAACACGACCCTTGACCGCAAAGTATTTGCCTTAAAGTATTATCTGATCAGGTTTATTTTGTGGCGTACTGTGTGTGTTTTAGTGGCGAGACAGCAGTACCCGGGGATTGACCCGGGAAGATCTGGACCTGTGCTCGTAAGGCACGCCCCCCTCCCACTGCACCCACATGGCCTGTATAATCGACAGGGCGTGGCTATATAAATTATTTTATGTTCGCCATGTGATCTTCTTTTGCGCCAATTTTGCTTATTGTCTTCTATAATTTATTGCACTTGCACAGTCCAGATCGATTTGAATTGTGCTGTCAACCACTCTTGCTTCTTCTAAACATTTTATATTGAACACATAAATTATTTATTCAATTTTATTGTGGTATATCATGTAAACTTTAGGCTAGGAATAATACAAAATGGAATTCATTAATAATAAAACCATGAGGATAAAACAGAACTTATCTTACATTCCTAACAATGATACATTCTTTTTACTTTCAAGGAAACTTCTGTATAGACTTCGGGATGGGTTGCTAGTTATTGTTCAGTGGAAGGAGGTTACTAGTATTACCAGAATTATGATATACCAGAACAGCTTGATTTTGAATTTAACGTTACCTGACCTGCAAAGATCCGAGAGCCTCTGCAATCAGAACCTAGTAGGAGGGCCTGCATGCCCTTTTTCGTTAACCGTTATGGGCTATTTTAATTCACCGTTAATCGTTGCCGGCCCACTCTAATTCAACGTTAAGCGTTATCGGTATATTCATCGTGAAGCGTTATTGGTCGTTTTAATTCAACGTAAAACGTTATTTGTCATCCTAAATTCAGCGTTAAGCGTTAAAGAATAATTCTTCGTTACGCCCAAAGTGCTGGAAAAGGCGTCATTGAAGGTTTGAAAATCCAAAATTTCCCGGGAGAGAATGCCCCCGGACCCCCCTACATTGGCGCTCGACTCGCTTGATATCTTGAGTAAAAATATGAAAGCATTAGAAAGACCGCGTACCGACAAACACTCTCAACACCATAATTTGCCTCTCAAAATGCGGGAAATTGTGTTTTTGAAGGCTTAAAAATCCTAAATCCCCCGGACCCCTCAGATTGCCAGCACCTTCGGCCGCTCCTCTCTCAAAATCCATCGGTAAAGACTGGGCGAACGGGCAAAAGTCAAGCTGGGTAGAGCCCTGGCCGACTCGGACTCCCCTTTATTTGTGGACGCACTCCGGGAACAGGGCAGGTGGGAAACACAGGGAACACATACCTTTAATGGGTGCTTCATTACATGTAAGGTATACGTAATTTTGTCAGTGATCACCTTTTCTCACAAAGCGAGGATACCAAGTCCAGTGCAGCTCGAAAAAGAAGCCTATCAATTTACCGTTAAGCGTTGTCAACCGTCCTGAATTTACCGTTAAGCGTTATCGGCCCTGCTGAATTTACCGTTAACCGTTGCCAGGACCCCCCCATGCAGACCCTCTAGTAGGCAGGTAGCTCCTAAAGTAATGCCCATTTTCCTCAAAGTTTATGGTAAGAAAGAATCCTGTAGCCGGGCTCAAAACTCATTTCAATAAATACAGGATTTGCCTGTCAATACCGGTAGCCATTGCCAAATTAATTTGTACAGTAATAACGCATGAGACACATTTTTTTGACATCACATAATAAACCCATGACAGTGGCAGTTATGGAAAAGGCACACTTGGCATGAATGGTTGTTTACTGAATAATTACCAGCCCAGGTAATCTAACTACGAAAATCCCCTGTCCCCTACAAAGTTCTATAGCAAAATCTAGTCCCCACAAACATAAATGAAGTAACATTATTTCAAGCTCTGAGTAGTCATGACTCTAAATGCAAGTTGCACAGTTCAAAGTTACTAGAGTAGAGAATGATGTAATATAGTACCATGTAATAGGCAAGACTCAGTCATTTTGATTTTCAAGTGAAAATATTTTGGTCCTTAGTACATAACGTACAAATCTTTATCTAATTTTGATGTATTTGACGTAACTTTTTAGGGTGATTTTTTTTGTGTGTCTGCAGATGGT